AGGCTCCCATCCTGTGTTCGCTTGGCAGGCAGGCCAGAAATGGGAGGGAAGCCATCTGTTTTTGCCTGTCCACTGGATGTTCCCTTCGTCTTGCCCCAGGGAGGAATGGTGAGGCTGGGGTGCTGGGGAGGGCAGGATGGGGGCTGGTTTGGGACCAGGCCTGCAGAAGCAGCAGACCCTCCAAGCCCACCTACCTCTCTGGCCTGGTATCTGAGGGGCAGGTCATGCCATAGTTTTTCCTTTATCCTCTCTGCCCCTACACTTTCCTCCCCAAAGTGGCAGACTTCCCCCAGGAGAAGCACTGGGTTTTCACGCTGCTGTGAGTCTCAGTCGCTATTAGGGAAACGCGCAGTCAGAGCCAGGCTTGCCCAACGGTCGCATGCCTGGGTCCACCTCATGGCCTTTGTTCTGGAAAAACACTTGGGCATTCTGACCTGCAGTGCACTTAGCCAAGGCTGGGAACATAGCGAGTGCTGAGTCATGGCCAGCTAGCACTTTACTGCGATTCTAGGAGTAGTTTCTGACAGGTTATGACTGCTTGCCTGGGTTGGGGGAGGGGAGCCTTTGGACAGGCAGTAGACCTGCCCCTTTACTTTGTGGGGCCAGATCTGAGTCTGACCCCATCTTTTTAGACCCAAAACCCTGATATTTGTAGTGCGCCTAGGATACTGGTTCTCCAGTCTTCTTTAGGGTCAGGGGGCTTTCTCCATAGTGCCTCATGCCACCTATTCAGCCCTCTTCCTGCATTTTATGGTCTGTCTCTACCAACTAGGCTAAGCAGGTTATATTTATTATTCCTCAAGGTGAATCCAGCTCTTCTTGTTCAAAAGTTCTGATTAATTTTCTATGTTCTCATTCAAAGAATTTTTAAATTCATTCATTCATTCAACAAATAATTAAGCATCTACTAGAATGCCAGGCACTGGGAGTCCAGATGGGAGCCAAAGTAGACATGGTCCGTGGCCTACAGGAGCTTCTGTCCAGCTGTCAGTCACATAATCACCCTGACAAATGTGAGCATGACGAAGGCTAGGACTGAGAGATGTGCCTTGCTCGGATAGGTCAGGAGAAGCTACCCAGAAGAGGGACAGTCAGTCTGAAATCTGAAAGGTGGGTAGAAGTTAGGGAGGTGGGAAGGGGAGGGAATAACTTTTAGACAGAGGGATTTGCCTTCATAAAGCCCCACAGTAGGACAGAGCATGGTGAGCATAAAACTGAAAGATCAGGGGGGCAGTGTGAGAGCCCAGCCCTAAAACTCTCACTTAGCTTTCAAGTAAACTACTTCTCCATACTATTGATACCAGTAGTACTCTGAGGGGCTAGGGGAGAGGTCAGTGGTCAGATCACCCAGGCCTTGAAGGTCACATTAACCCAGGGACAAGGGGAAGCTCTTTAGGGTCTTGGCAGGGGATGGGGTATACATGATCAGATTTGCATTTCCAAAAGATCACTCTGACCTGGCTCATGCCTGTAATCCAGCTATTTGGGAGGCTAAAGCAGGAGAAGTTCGAGACCAACCTGGGCAATATAGTAAGAACCTGTCTTCGTTTAAAAAAAAAAACAGGGTTTGTGCGGTGGCTCATGCCTATAATCCCAGCACTTTGGGAGGCCGAGGCAGGTGGATCACAAGGTCAGGAGATTGAGACCATCCTGGCCAACATGGTGAAACCCCATCTCTACTAAAAATACAAAAATTATCTGGGCATGGTGGCACACGCCTATAGTCCCAGCTACTCAGGAGGCTGAGGCAGGAGAATCGCTTGAACCAGGGAGGCGGAGATTGCAGTGAGCCGAGATCGCGCCACTGCACTCTAGCCTGGCCACAGGGAGAGACTCCGTCTCCAAAAAAAAAAAAAAATGTTTTAAAAAGATTGCTGTGGCTGCAGAGTGGCCATTGTGTTGGAAGGGGTAGAGCAGATGTGAGTGGACTGGGCAGGGGCAGCAGTCCAGGGGAGAGCCACAGGAACCTGGGCTGGGTTGGAGATGGATTTGAGATGTACTTTGGAAGTTCAGCTGCCAGAACTTGCTGATATCTGTGGCGGAGTGAAGGAGAGGGGTTTCAAGGACATCACCTAGGTTTTTGGCTTGGCAGTAGCAAGGAGGGTAGTGTCAGTTACTGCAGGAGGGAACACCAAGAGAAGACAAAGTTTAGGGGAACAGGATCACAGTGCAATTTCAGATGCACTGGAGAAAATTTCGACACAAGGTTCTATCTGGGCCACAGGTGGTTCTGCTCAAATACATTTATAGCTCTTTGTCTGCACTTAATCACTCTGTCATACTTAGCTGCAAGGGGGCCAAGAAATGTAAAGTGTTTGGCTGGTCTTCTCCAACTAAAATTAAAATTCCTTTGCTAAGGAAGAAGAAGAGAACATTGCTGGCAGTCTGCCACAACATCCCAATCTGATGGCATGTTTGCCATAGCCACCAGCTCATCAAGGACAGCTGCGGTGAACCGTTGAGTTCTGAGTAATCTCCTGTCCGGGCCACCTTTCTTCACTCAACCACATAATCCTCACATTCCCAAGTATATTATTTCTTTTTTTGAGATGGAGTCTTGCTCTGTTCCTCAGGCTGGAGTGCAGTGGCATGATCTTGGCTCACCGCAACCTCCGCCTCCTGGGTTCAAGCAATTCTCCCTGCCTCAGCCTCCTGAGTAGCTGGGATTACAGGTATGTACCACCACGCCCGGCTAATTTTTGTATATTCCGTAGAGACGGAGTTTCACCATGTTGGCCAGGCTGGTCTTGAACTCCTGACCTCAGGTGATTTGCCCACCTTGGCCTCCAAAGTGCTGGAATTACAGGCGTGAGCCCCTGTGCCCATCCCCAAGTATGTTTTCTTAGCTCACTCTTTTCAGCATGTATTTTACAGAAGGGTAATCTGAATTGTAAACACAATTTCTAAGTTAAAACTCCTGGTCAGCTCATGATGAAGTAGCAATTTATAAAAGAGATAGTATAGTAATAAATGAGACAACTACACTCTGAAGTATAGAATCATCAACTCTTACCAGAAAACACCCTATGAGACTCGTGTTTTTTTTTTTTTTTTTTTTTTGAGACGGAGTCTCGCTCTGTCGCCCAGGCTGGAGTGCAGTGGCCGGATCTCAGCTCACTGCAAGCTCTGCCTCCCGGGTTTACGCCATTCTCCTGCATCAGCCTCCCGAGTAGCTGGGATTACAGGCGCCCGCCACCTCGCCCGGCTAGTTTTTTGTATTTTTTAGTAGAGACGGGATTTCACCGTGTTAGCCAGGATGGTCTCGATCTCCTGACCTTGTGATCCACCCGTCTCGGCCTCCCAAAGTGCTGGGATTACAGGCTTGAGCCACTGCGCCCGGCCACAAGACTCATGTTATTCCATTCACGCCATGCGCTTCCTCACTTCCATCCCATTCCATCCCACATGCTCTTCTTTCTGCCTGGATTATCCCCATTCCACCATTATTTTTCACCTGGTAAACTCCTATTCATACTTAAAAACCCTGCTCAATGACCCCTTCTCTGTGAAACCTTTGTGGCAAAACTTAACCACTTCTGCTTGTGCACACTTCTCTTCCATCTGTGTGCATATAGTATGTGTCTATAACTGGAAGGGTGTTTATCTGTTATCCGTTTGTCTGCCCTGCTAAAATGTGAGCTCCTACAGTTACAGGGTTGTGTGTTAGTCCCGGTGCCTACACAGTACCCAGCCCGTAGTTCTACTCAGTGTTGCTGAACCAACCTCTGGTCCAAAAGCATGTTTCTACTTGCTTTTCCAAGGCACCAATCCAAATCTCTTATTTATTTTAAAAAACAAATAACTTCTTGGCACTTTAAAAACCACATTCAAATAACAGAAAAAGTTCATTTGAACTTTAAGTATCAATCTGAAAATGAATTGTATGTTTTAAAACTTGACTTAGTGACATCACTTAAGAGAATTTTTAAAAAGCAAACTTTTATTTTTACCCCAGTGTAACAGAAATATTAAGTTCCATTAAATTATTAAACTGATCTACCTTTTTTTTTTTTTTTTTTGAGACAGAGTCTTGCTCTGTTGCCTACGTCGTAAGACTTCATAAAATAAAAATTGCCCCAGATGTTAAAAATTATATGTATAGCTGGGACTACAAGCGCACACCACCACACCCAGCTAATGTGTGTGTTTTTATTAGAGATGGGGTTTCACCATGTTGGCCAGGCTGGTCACGAACTCCAGACCTCTAGGGATCCACCCGCCTTGGCCTTCCAAAATGCTGGGATTACAGGCATGAGCCACCACCCCCCGCCTGTTTTTCGTTTTTTGGTTCTTTCTTTCTTTCTTTCTTTTTTTTTTTTTTTTTTTTTGAGACAGGTTCTTGCTCTGTCTCCCAGGCTGGAGTGCAGTGATCATAGCTCACTGCACCTCAACCACCTGGGCTCAAGCAATCCTCCCACTTCAGCCTCCCAAGTAGCTGGTACCACAGGCATGCACCACCATGCCCGGCTAATTTTTTTTTATTATTTGTAGAGACAGGGTTTTGCCATGTTGCCCAGGCTGTTCTCAAACTCCAGGCTGTTCTCAAACTCCTGGGCTCAAGTGATCTGCCTGCGTTGGCCTCCCAAAGTGCTGGGATTACAGGTGATTTACATTTTAACTCTGCTGCAAAACAAAGCACCTACTTTATTTGCTCTCCTGTATTTAAAATTGTCCTTTATGCGTCAGACCCAGAAAGATAAACACAAGTAAACTAACAAGTTACTCTACTTGTATCATTTGTTGCTTTCTAACAGTTTCATTTAGTCCATCTTTGAAGGGTAAAGACCACTGATTGCTCATCTAACTTCTTCACCTTGAACTTATTGGGATTTTCTTCCAAGTTTCACAAATGCGCGCCCAACATTTGACTTCAGTGTAGAATTGGAATTAAAATATATGCAATCCCATTTCTTACAGTAGGAGCCAATTGTTCATCACGTTCCCCTCTGAGCTCAGTATCTTGTAGCTAAATGACCTCTATCTTCCAGTCTTCCTTTTTAAAAAAAAAAAAAATCAGGCTAGTTTGCAATAAAAATTGTATTTTCTTTACTAGGCAAGCGAACCATTTTGTTGGGAAGAGTACCTTGGCTTCGAGAAAGAAAATGATTTCATTCTGAAAGGCTTCCCCTCCAACCCTCTGCCGTGCAAACTCAGCCCAGTAACTTGTCAGTATTCTGGAAAAATGCATTACAAAACAAAAACTCTAATCAGATAAAATATATCTCTGGAACTTTTGAGACAGATCAATGAAGGTTTGATTTCAGGTGCTAGCAAAATAAAGCAGGCACTCTCATTTTGTATTGTTTTACTTCCCAGTGTTTCATGGCATCTCCTAAACTTTGATGTTTTGAAGAAGTTCTAATGTTTGCTACATCAGCAGGAGCTGACCACAGGGAAGAGATAAATATAGCTCTCCTTGGAAAGGTGAAGGCTTAGCCACCAGAATTCTGCCCCTTGATGCTGAGAATGCACCTTCTCCAAACAGATGGAAAAGAGGGGTGGAGATTACCCCAGGAATGTATCTTGCAAAACGCTGATACCCGAAGATGTACATAGCCTTGTGCTTTTGGTCATCCTCCCAAATCACGTCCAAGGCACACAGAGAGGAGAGCAGATGCTCCCAGACCACAGTGCCTGTCGCCATGCACTCCCTCACATTCAGCCTGTTTATGTGCACACAGCTGCAGCGGGACCTTGGGGTGTGGGCTAAATAACAGGAACAGGGGCTCCTCTGGGGTCTGTTATAAGGCAGAGATTCTCCACAGTAATTAGGGATTTAGGGGAAGAGGAAGGAACACACACGTTGATAATAAGTAGTTCAACATTATTATCCCCATTTTATGATGCAGCTACTGAGCTCAGAGAGGTTTCATAACTTGCCCAGAGCCCCTCAACTAGTACTAATAAATAGTGGAGCCGAGATTTGAACTACCCAAAGAGGAAAGCAAGCAAGAAACCCCTTTGTTACTTTTTTTTTTTTTTTTAAGATGAGGGTCTTGTTACGTTGCCCAGGCTGATATTGAATTCCTGACCACATGTGATTCACCACCTTGGCTCCGCAAAGTGCTGGGATTACAGTCATGAGCTACCACACTGGGCCAAAGCCCTCTCATTGTAACCTCCAAGATATTTTCATTTCTAAAGTCAAAGGTCGTCAGAGTTGCTGTGTTGTGGGGAGCCATGGGATGGGGAGTCTCCAGGAAACGCAGGCTGGCTCCTTAAATGGCATCGCCCAAGTTGGCCACCAAGCCTCCCCAGACTCAGTCACTCCTCGGCCCCCTCTTTCCCTGGTTGTGGAGCAGGGGTTTGGACTGGAGGCTGCTGAGTTCCTCTCCAGCTTCCATGCCCAGTGGCAGTGACTTACCAACTGGCCCACCCGGTGGACGTAGGGGTGATGCAGCCCTGCTCATCCTCTGAGTGCTTGTCTGCTGAGTGAGAGAGGGAGGCCATGAGAGGGAGGGGAGGGCTCTGTCATCTACCTAGTGCCACCCCCTCCCCAGCCCACCCCAGGTCCTCTGCCACCTCGGGTTCCCACGTGAACAGTCCTTCTCACTGTGGGGGATGTTCGCTTTCACCAGCCCAACCCCAGGAAGCCCACCCTGCGGAGGACGGAGGGAGTCTCCACGGCTCCACAGCCCTGTCTGCTTTGTCGGAGATCTGGCCAAGCTGAGTGGTGCCCTCTTGACTGAGCCTCAAACCTTTGCTTTCCCCTTACTCCAAATAAAGCCACAACCCTGGCGAGGGAGCCCAGAGGCCTGAGGGCAGCCTGCTGGGTGCCTGGCACTCCCTAGACCCTCCCTGCCTGGGCGGTGTGCATCTGCACTTCTCCCTGCCTCGAGCTGCAGAGTGTGTGGGCAGGGTCAGGCAGATAGAGAGTGGGTGCCTGGACTCTGATTGGTCAGACTCTAAGAGCCCCTGCAGCTCTTCCCAGGACTGGCTGACCCACCAGTACAGGGAGAGTGTTGTTTCTTATTATTACATTTTTTTGAGAAAAGCTATGAGGCCTGGGAGACATCCGTGGCTCCCGGGCAGTAGTGGCTGGTCTGTGCTCTAGGAGTCCCTTCTGGCCTGAAGACTCGAGGCTGCAAACAGGTGCTGAGAGGGAACAAGAAGGGGAGGTGGGGTGCAACACGCCCAGTGACAGACCGGGAGTGAGTTCTGTGGTCACAGATTCTAATCCTCACAACCGCAGTGTGATTTACGGTAAGGCCCTTGCCTACTCTGATTCTTGCCTTAAATAAGTGAAAAGGAAAGTCAAGTTTGATGAATTGTGGCTCTTTAGTGGGTGGATTTGCATGTACCATGGATTACATGTACCAGGGTCTAGGAAGTGCCAAGCGCCCAGCAGGCTGCCATCAGGCCTCCGAGCTCCTTCGCCAGGGCTGCGGCTTTATTTGAAGAGGAAAGCAAAGGTTTGAGGCTCAGTCAAGAGGGCGCCACTCGGCCTGGCCAGCTCTCCGACAAAGCAGACGGGGGGTGTGGAGTCATGGTGACCCCCTCCGTCCTTCCCAGGGCGGGCTTCTTGGGGTTGGGCTGGTGAAAGTGAACACTGCCTGCAGCAAGGAGAAGGACTGTTCACGTGGGAACGCAAGGCGGCAGTGGGGTTGAAGACCCATCCACACACAGTCAACACCTGCTGTCACACCAGGCTAATCAAGAACACCTTTCTTTCGTTCATTAAATACCTGCTATTAAATAAAGGGCTGTTACTAGGTGGCAAAGTAACACACTGCAGTAGAGCCTATTTGTAATCTGAGATCAGTGGCTGTAAGGCACCATCCTTGAGCCAAGTACTAATATTCTTGTTATCTTAATTAGAATGCAAGAGATTGTGTTTTTAAATTTCTCTTTGAATCTGTCACTTTGCTCTCCTTTTCCTGGGTGATACCCCTGGTAGTGCTGGTGGGGGCCATCATAATGCCCCTTGTCCCAGATTCCCTTCTTTTAGATGGGACTCGAGCATTTATCATTTCAGCACTGTATCTCTCAGGTCAACGTGGTTCAGTTTGCTGTGCAAAGTCCAGGGGAGATAACCACGCCGTGCACACATGAGACTGGCTGAGTTGGCAGGACTGTGCAGTTGTCAAAAGGCCGTGGGGAGTGGGGGCCAGTGCCTGCAGCCTGCCCTGCCTCTCTCACAGGCGCCTAGAGCGTTGCCAGGTGCAGAGCTCCACAGCTCTCTTTCCCAAGGAGTGATCGAGGGTGAGAACGTGGAGCCTGGTGGACAGGTGAAGGCACTGGGATCTTTCTGCCCAGAAAGGGGAAAGTTGCACATTTATATCCTAGAGGGAAGCGACAGCGGTGCTCCTCCCTGTGCTGAAGTACAGGTAAGGAGGTTTCACTGGGGAGGGTGATCCCTCTTTATTGTTCATTCTGCTCACAGCCTCCTTGACAACATCATGCAAAATGTGTCTTACTGGCTTCTAGTGCATATGCAGTTGGCACAAATATTAGTGGAGCGCCTCGCTGTGCTGGGCCAATGACCAGTGCTGGGCACTGGGGATCAAGGCAGTACCCAGGACGGGCACAACTCTGCCTTCCCAAGCTATGGTTTATTGTGGTGGGATCTGCCTGCCCGGTGAAGTGTCTTCAGCTGCTCCTGTTGCTGGGGGAAGCTCTGCTCTCTGCCTTTGGCTGCCTCCCACACGCTCCCATGTGTCTCCCAGTCCCTAACACCTAGTCCTGCTTTCAATACCACAGGAGCTTGTAGCTGACATTTCTCCATCTTTTTTTTTTTTTTTGAGATGGAGTCTAGCTCTGTCGCCCAGGCTGGAGTGCAGTGGCCGGATCTCAGCTCACTGCAAGCTCCCGGGTTTACGCCGTTCTCCTGCCTCAGCCTCCCGAGTAGCTGGGACTACAGGCGCCTGCCACCTCGCCCGGCTAGTTTTTTTTTGTATTTTTTAGTAGAGACGGGGTTTCACCGTGTTAGCCAGGATGGTCTCGATCTCCTGACCTCGTGATCCACCCGTCTCGGCCTCCCAAAGTGCTGGGATTACAGGCTTGAGCCACCGCACCCGGCCTCTCCATCTTCTTAAAGGGCAGGATTTCCTGGCAGAGACATAACGTCTTTCTGGAAGTAAAGGCATAACGTCTTTCTGCATGTCTTTTCTTTTCTGAATTCCTTAAAATAAGAGGAACTCATTTCCAGCTGTTCCCTGCCTTGTTTTTATTGTGGAAGTGTGCTCCCAGCTGCCCATCTGATCAGCTGACATAGGGTCTTTAGGGCCCAGGCACTACTGCTGCTTGGAATTGAAAGATGAAAGCCATAGGACCAGGCATGGCAGCTCGTGCCTGTAATCCCAACACTTTGGGAAGCCGAGGTGGGCAGATCACTTGAGGTCAGGAGTTTGAGACCAGCCTGGCCAACATGGTGAAACTCTGTCTCTACTAAAAATACAAAAATTAGCAGGAGGTGGTGTATGCACCTGTAATCACAGCTACTCAGGAGTCTGAAGCATGAGAATCTCTTGAACCCAGGGGCAGAAGTTGCAGTGAGCCGAGATCGCATCACTGCACTCTTTGAGACTCTGTCTCGAAAATAAAATAAAATAAAAATAAAAATAAGATAATAATTAAGAAAAAGCAATGGCCTGGCGTGGCTGGAGGTGGAACATGCATCAAAGTGTCCCACATGTCTCTGGCAGGGATAGTGAAGGCCTGCACCCTGGCACATGGTAGACTGAGTAAACATTGATCACTGAGGCCTTGAGGCACTTCAGAGTTTCACAATCCAGAGAGGGAGATGTATTGAAAGTTCAAGGGTGGACACCTGGGCATGGTTCCCAGGAAGAAGGCTGCAGTGGGTTCTAAGAAGTGTGCTGGTGACTATGAGAGATGGGGTTGTGGGTTTCCTCTCTTGAAAGGTGTCTCGATAATCACATGTGGGGTGATAAGGGCTCTGGTCCAGGGGATGGGGCAAGGCACGCAGGGGGCTGAATCTGATGGCATCAGGACTTGGTGATGGGCTGTGGGGGAAGAATCGGATGACATTAGGGCCTGAGGGAGGGAAGCTGGGAGTTCACTGGGATCACTAATAGAAACAGGGAGGTGGGGGGTGCCAAGCTGATTTTCCTGATTAGATTTCCTACAGAACTACAGGAATAAGATGAGAGCCATCGCCCTGGGTGGATTTGTTTGGAGCTCTATCTCTGGACCACTGTGGACAAGTATTTCTTAGAACGACCCCCAGTGGCCCAATTCTAGGTTTAGTGGGGCAGCTCTTGACTGGAGCAAACTCCAGGGCCTCTGCAACCCCCCAGCAGAGTCCCAGACATCTGACATGTAGCAGCCAATGGAGCATACAAGTGGTGGGGTTCCCAGCAGGGACCACCATCTGCCTTGGGTTTCCAAGACAGAGTCAGGGGCGCTGCCGGGGGGTGGTCTGCAGGGACCTTGTCAAAACTCAATGCTTTCTCCTCCGCCTGGGTCCTAACTGCACTGCGTCCAGAGAACCTCCTCTGACTCAGGCATAAGGACGGCCTGCATATTCATGCAGGTTACTCTGAACAAGAACAGTCTGTGGGTTACTTGCCTAGGAATGAGGAAGATGAGGAGCTAGATAACAATGCTGGGCTGGTATCTGCCTGATCGTGCTTTGCTGAGACTAAGGTTTCTTCCCTTTCTGAGCAAAAAAGACACAGGAGTCAGACAAATGGGGATTAAAACACAACTGAGTTGATGTGAAATGTAATAGGCAACTCTATGGACACAGAAAGTAGATTAGAGTCTGCTTAGGACCTAATGTGGGGGGGCAGTAGAGGAGCGACAGCTGAAGGGTATGGAATTTCTCTGCGCTGATGAAAATGTTCTACAGTTGACTGTGGGTATGGTTGCACATGCCTGAATATCCTCAAAACCATTGGAGTGTTCACTTTAAATGGGCAAATTGTATGGTATATGAATTATGTTTCAGTAAAGCTCTTACACACACAGCTAAGATGTGTGGCCATGGCTGGGCTTCCTAGCAGTGTCCCCCAACCCTAAATTGAACTTACTCTCCCAGCACTTGGGCCTCCCCATTACCCCCGTCTGCCCTGAGGATGAGCCCCTCTACAAGAGGGACAGAGCAGGGGCTGTGGGCCACCACTCAGGAAAGGTGCTCCTCTCCCCTGGGGGAGGGAGCCCAGAGGGCGTGGACAGAAGCCTTCTCAGACATGAGGCCGCCAGGCACAGTGGCTCATGCCTGTAATCCCAGCACTTTGGGAGGCCAAGGCGGGCGAATTACAAGGTCAAGAGATCGAGACCATCCTGGCCAGTGAAACCCCATCTCTACTAAAAATACAAAAATTACCTGGGCATGGTGGCACGTGCCTCTAGTCCCAGCTACTCGGGAGGCTGAGGCAGGAGAATTGCTTGAACTCGGGACGCAGAGGTTGCAGTGAGCCGAGATTGTGCAGCTGCACTCCATCCTGGGCAACAGAGCGAGACTCTATCTCAAAAAAAAAAAAAATGAGGCCTCAGAAATGCAGCTCCCAAAACCCCCTACCCAGGACTGTGCAGAAGCCAATCTAGGTTCCTCTTTTCCCAGGATGATGAACAATTTTCAAAGCTTAGTAGGATTATGGGTGATTTTGTCTCATTGTCTGTTGTTTTTCCATTTTTCTATATCTCATATATATATTACATATACTATATATAGTAGGTATATAGTGTGTATATATTATAATATATATTATATATAACAATTTATAATATAACATATATAATATAATATATAATATATAACATATAATAGATAATAAAACATGTATAATATATTATGTTATATCACATATATATTATATATTATATATTATATTGTATATTATATATTATAATATATGTATTATATGTTATACATATAATATATAATATATTATTACACACATAATATATATACGGTCAAATGTAAATAAAATCAGGGACGGGGTTGGAGTGCAGCAGGAAAGAGGCTGCTGCGAATCAGTCTCTGAGCTGTCAGGGCTGGGCTGGGCGGGCTCCGTTACTGATGACATCCCCCCATTTTGCAGGAGCCATGTGGCTAGAAATCCTCCTGACTTCAGTGCTGGGCTTTGCCATCTACTGGTTCATCTCCCGGGACAAAGAGGAAACTTTGCCACTTGAAGATGGGTGGTGGGGCCCAGGCACGAGGCCCACAGGCAGGGAAGACGAGAGCATCCACCCTTTCAAGGTGGAAACGTCAGATGAGGAGATCCACGTAAGGCACCTTGGGCCAGGCCGGACTGGGCAGTGGAGAGGGTGGTGTCTCGGAGACAGGTTGGGTCTTAGGCCAGATGCGGGAGGGGATGGGGGCTTGGGAATGGTCCGTCCTACTTGGGAGTGTGTTTCAGTCTGCTTTTCCCCTGCTGGGCAGGTGCAGGTTGCTTTGGAGAGGGATACCGAGCCCTCCCACTTTGTCTCTTCTCCTTTCCCTATCCGAGGCCCAGCAGTGCTCAGGCAGGAGATGGGGTGCCAGCAGACTCAGTTACCTGCATCAAAGGTCACAGAAAGCAGCCGTCATCACCTCCTCTATGCCCTGCCTGAAGCCTTGGGAGTGAGGTTGTGGGAGAAAGTGAGCAGGTTTCCACCATCAGAGACCCAGGAAGCACTGAGAAGGCAGGGATGCTGCTGCTTAGGCAACCGCTGTGTATCAGCCATTCCTGGTCACATTCAATCCCTGTGGTGATCCCGCGGGGTGAGGACTGTTGTTCCCATCCTGCAGATGCAGAAGCTGAAGCTCAGGGTCATAAAGCAACTTGTTCAAGGCAGCCTAGCTAACAAGCGGAAAGATTTGAAGTCAGGTCTAACCCTGAAGCTGCTGCCCCTCCTCTGCACAGGAATAGAGTCAGGAAGGAGGTTACTGGGCAAGTGGGGTGACCTGAGAATGCAACCTCAGGGAGGAGCAAGGCTCAAGTTGGGGACAGGACGGTAGGCAGGCCTGGCATGGCCCTGCCTATCCTTTCTTTCATTCTGTGGGTTTTGAGCACCTACTGTGTGCAGGCCCAGTGAGTGCCTGGGAGAAGAGAGAGCCCCTTCCATCCAACAGCATACAGTCCAGTGAATGAGAAAAGGAATGTGCACAAAGAAAAGTAGACTAAAAGATAAATAAGGATCGGCTGGGTGCGGTGGCTCACACCCGTAATCCCAACACTTTAGAAGGCCGAGGTGGGTGGATCACCTGAGGTCAGGAGTTCAAGACCAGCCTGGCCAACATGGTGAAACTCCGTCTCTACTAAAAATACAAAAAATTAGCCGGGCATGGTGGCGGGCACCTATAATAATCCCAGCTACTCGGGAAGCTGAGGCAGGAGAATCCCTTGAACCCAGAAGGCAGAGGCTGCAGTGAGCCAAGATCGCACCACTGCACTTCAGCCTGGGCAACAAGAGTGAAACGCCGTCTCAAAAAAAAAAAGATGGATAAGGATAAATGTCACAAAAAGCATGGATTAAAAAGTCATGAGAGTTCCAAGGAAGAAGGGATTTAAAAGCAGAAGCTGGGCTAAACCCAAGAACAACCAGGCTGAGGCTCCCTGGGTAGGACTTGCTTGCTGCAGCCTTGCTATTTAGGGCCAAAGCTGAGTCCTGAGGAAAACTCCTTTACGGAATTAGACTCCTAAGGGAGTCTGAGATTTCCAAAATCTGTTCGGGGGTGACTGAAACACTTGAGAAGAAGCCTGAGAATAGTGACACTTGAGAGGCTCCCTAAGCTGACATGAACTTCCTCCCACTGGGGCTGGCCTTTTAGCCTAATACATGCCCATGAGGCTTGCACCCTCTCTCCTGGTCTGTAAATTTTTTATTTTTTGGAGACAGGGTCTGGCTCTGTCACCAGGCTGGAGTGCAGTGGTGTGATCTTGGCTCACTGCAACCTCTACCTCCCGGGTTCAAGCGATTCTCCTGCCTCAGCCTCCCGAGTAGCTGGGGTTACAGGCGCCTTCCACCATGCCCAGCTAATTTTTGTATTTTTAGTAGAGATGGGGTTTCGCCATGTTGGCCAGGCTGGTCTTGAACTCCTGACCTCAGGTGATCCACCCACCTCAGCCTCCCAAAGCACTGGGATTACAGGCGTGAACCACTGTGCTGGGCCTGGCCTGTAATTTTTATCCCAACTGAGTTATAATGTATCATTCAGTGTTGTATATCAGGGGTCAGGAAACCATGGCCCATAGACCAAATGTAGCCTGCTACCTGTTTTAGCATGACCCCTATGCCAAGAATAGTGTTTACCTCTTTAAATAGTTAGGGGGAAAAAAAATCAAAAGAAGAATAATAGTTTGTGACATGTGAAAATTATATAGCAGTCAGATTTCAGTGTCCATAAATAAAGTTTTATTGGAACACAGCCACCCCCATTCATCTGTGCATTGGCTGTGGCTGCCTTCACACTAGGAAGACAGAGTGGAGTCACTGCAGCCTGCAAAGCCTAGAATATTACTATCTGGCCCTCTACAGAAAAAGTTTGCCGACTCCCGCTATAGGGAAACCTGGGTAAATTAAAGATGTGTGTTGTTTATACACTTAAAGAGTAAAAGATGGGCTGGGCGCAGTGGCTTACACCGTAATCCCACTGTTTTCGGAGGCCAAGGCAGACAGATCACTTGAAGCTAGGAGTTCAAGACCAGCCTGGCCAACATGGCAAAACCCCATCTCTACTAAAAATGCAAAAATTAGCTAGACATGGTGGCTCACACCTGTAATCCCAGCTACTCTGGGAGCTGAGGCACGACTCGCTTGAACCTGGGAGGTGGGGGTTGCAGTGGGCCGAGATCACGCCACTGATCCAGCCTGGGCAACAGAGTGAGACCCTGTCAAAAAAAAAAAAAAAAAAAGAAAGAAAAAGAAATGCGAAGTCTACAGTGAAGAAGGAAGAAGGGAAGAACACATCCGCTTTGGGAGCAGACAGTGAGGTGGGAAACTGCTTTGCCACTACCAGAGTGCAGTGTCTTGTGGCTGCAGGGTTTGCTGTGTTTTCTGGAAACAAACTTTGCTCTTGTGCCCTGCCCTACCCATCCCTCTCAACTTGGGGTCCTGCATTTTGCTCCAGGACTTACACCAGAGGATCGATAAGTTCCGTTTCACCCCACCTTTGGAGGACAGCTGCTTCCACTATGGCTTCAACTCCAACTACCTGAAGAAAGTCATCTCCTACTGGCGGAATGAATTCAACTGGAAGAAGCAGGTGGAGATTCTCAATAGATACCCTCACTTCAAGACTAAGATTGAAGGTATGTTTGCAAAACACCAGCCAGAGAGGGATGTGTGTCATAAGAACGCCTTCTTGCACGATGTAACTTAGAGTCAGATAAAGTTGGAGAGATTCAGAACCCAATTTTAGGTCACTGAGATGTACTTATAAGTTGTAACCTTACTAAATGCAAAAATATTGCAGTCACAGCAAATCTGTCCATCTTTAGAGCTAGGCAGGAACACATACATGCAATTTAAAAACCAAAGAAATGCACCATCCAGTCCAATGATGTGGCAGTCTTTGAGAGGACGGATGGAGATGAGATTTAGACCCGGGCCAGGTGGGGTGGCTCACACGTGTAATCCCAGCACTTTGGGAGGACGAGGCAGGTGTATCACGAGGTCAAGAGTTCAAGACCAGCCTGGCCAAGATGGTGAAACCCCGTCTCTACTAGAAATACAAAAATTAGCCAGGTGTGGTGGCAGGCACCTGTAATCCCAGCTACTCTGGAGGCTGAAGGAGAATTGCTTGAAGCCAGGAGGCGGAGGTTGCAGTGAGCCGAGATTGCGCCACTGCACCCCAGCCTGGGCAACAGAGAAAGACTCTGTCTCAAAAAAAAAAAAAAAAGTTAGACCTGGGCAGGGCCTTGGTCAGCTCAACCCATTCTTGAAGTTTTGGAGTCCATGATACCATGACTGTTCAAAGATGCTCAGCCTGTCAGTCAAGATCCTATGAAACACTGTCCTATCTGTCTGCATCTCTAGGCCTCATGTCCCAACTGTATCACAGGTTGTCACACAATGTCACCAGGAAGGGAAGGTATCTTTCAGAATTTTCTTCGGAAGGTAACCCCAGGATCATTGGGATGAAGTAACAGTTTCCTTAGTGAAAAAGCATTTTTTTAACCCCAAAAAGATTTAGAATTAAATACGGGCTGGGTGTGGTGGCTCATGCCTGTAATCCTAGCACTTTGGGAGGCCGAGGCAGGTGGATCACCTGAGGTCAGGAGCTCAAGATTACAGGCGTCAGCCATCACGCCCAGCTGATTTTTGTATTTTTTAGTAGAGACAGGGTTTTACCATGTTGGCCAGGCC